CTGCACTCACAATTTCCCACAGAAATCCTCAGTCCTTTTGTGCTCTAGTTTCCCAGCCCTTCAGAGGAGGTGTGCATCCCCAGAGAGAGCTCGTGCAGTCTTAGAGACAGCCTCAGCTTCTATATTGGAACCTAAATATTCTGGTCTTGGACTGCCCTGCTGCTTTGCTGCTTGTTCTCCCACTGAATGCAAGTACTGGCTTGCAATGTGTCCTCCTTTGCCCAGATAAATGTTCTGTCCGGGTGCTGTGCAATGTCACATACATCGTGAGATGCCTAGATGATTACAGGAGCTGTGGGCCATGCCTGCATGATCCCGTGCGCCTTCTGGAAAAAGAAAATGACTGAGTTATAGAGTTGCCTGTCTGATAGTGACCAAAGGTTGGATCCTGTGACCATTGAAGCAAAGGTGAAGCTACCTCTGCCTTATGGTACAGGGCCTGACCCCTGAAAGAATCCATGCTGCAATACAGGTAAGTACATAGCACAGCTCTGCAAACCCACAGCCCAAATCCTGCCCTGATGCTGAAATCCCCTCCTTCTAATCCTTTCACTTCCTTTTAAGCAAGCGGCTCAGGTCACCTCTCAGCTGCTGAAATCTGTCAATGTGCGGGAGCCTTGCCTGGAGGCACTGCTAAGAATAGTGTTTAAGAAGGAGGGGAAGAGAGGAGTGAGCGTGGAAGGGATTTGGCCACTGCCACCACCAGTTAGACTTCACCTTGTTTACTACAAGCGGCAGAGGCTGTGCAATACATGCAGCTTCATCTGGTGCTCTTATCTGACGGTCTTCTGATCCTCTGAATACTGAAGTCGACAGCACAGCCGCAGAAAACCCAATGCTCTTCCCCCGCTATGGCTGTAAAATCCAGTTACTATTGCCCTTACCTTGCCGGCTAAAGCTTCTGGGAGAGTGGGATCTCATCTGTCTGTGTGCGTGGACTGAGCTGGAGGCTCCTGAAACAAAGCACAAATGAATCTCTTAGAAGCAGCCGTATATCAGCAAAATGCCATAGAAACCACAGCTGTGTTATGGAGGGCCTTTTACCCGGCATTATGCAATAGGTAATTATGTAAGTTAGTTATATAATGTCACACAACATTTTATACAACCCAGGGTGATGGCAGAGCTGGGGCCACGGCCACCATCACTCCCAGCCACAGGACCCTCGGTTGAGCTCAGGGGTTCTTTAATTGTATTGTGGAGGAAAAGGCTCATTGAAAAGAAAAAAGTATTTGGTAAAAAAATAAATAAATCTGTTTGCTCTGTAAACACACAAGATTGTTGGGGTTGTTTCTGGAGGAAAATAAACTGGTTTTGGGAGCATCCCTCACTCCTCCTCACTATAAAGTTTATTTCATGAACTCACTTCAAATTAATAAAAATATCTATGATTTCTGCTAGTGTCTCTCTCTTGGGTACACATTTCCCAACTTGCAGCAGGTCTGCTTGCAGAGAAGTCAGGACTAGAAATCATTGGCAATTTGTTATATTAACTATCAAGGTAATGTGGGAGGTCTGCTGGGCTCTCTGATATTCACTTTACAGGCCAGGGCTGAATTTCTCTCTTCACAATAGTGATACCGAGAAAAAAAATTGAATGTGACCAAAAAGACAAGGAACTGGTTCCTCCCTGTGACTGGTGT